CTATTCATATCGTCACCGAGCGCATCGCTCTCAACCCCATCGCCCGACCACCATCCCCTCACGTCGCCATTCCTGTACCATCGCCAGCTCATGTTACAACTGCCGTGGAGCATCAGGATGATAATATCCCTCCTATTGCTATGCTTGATGTACCAGCTTCTCCTTCTCCTGACCCCATCCCCGTCGCACGTACTACACGATGACTCCCACTTAAATGAAGATCCTCACGCCTCGCCGCTAAGCGGGCTACATCCGTCTCCCCCACCAAGGCACCTCTCAAACGGTCAAGGTCACCCTCTCCCCCAAACCAGTCCTCATCTGTCACTATCATAAAAACGTCACCAGCCGACAATGTCATATGCCACAACTGCCACACTGCCGGACACCGCCATAAGAACTGTCCTGCATACTACTGCAGAGTTTGTCTGGAATATGCACCAGGACACTTATCAGTCTTTTGTAAAGAGTTGAAGGGTGAAGCAGTCATTCCGCTGGTATGGACTGATGTTGGGTTTTATGACGCTCTCGCTCGATGGGAGATTGAACAAGACGCCATTGCTCACGCCACCGCTTTACGGCAGACCACCGTCACTGAGGAGCAGGACGATCTCCTTGATTCCAACTACGACACGGACCCCATTTACTGGGCCAATCAGGATATTTGAAGTCAGTGACTTCATCCTTAAACGAGGGGTAATGTTACAGACGTGGTTACCCCCTATCCATTTTCTCTTCTTACTTGTGTATTACGTCATAACTGCACTTAACTGTGCCATCATTAGACTAGCCGATCGCCATATCTGTATTACATCACGACCACCACGTGCCGTCGCTAGATGACTCACTCCTCTTATCTCTGACTTGATCGCTAGATGATGCATACGATACCGGCCCTAAACCTCTTACATCTATATAAACCCGGTCCTGTACTTAGTTAGACTTCACTTTAATCTACTAGGTCTTACCTGAACTATCCTTCGCTTAGGACCTCCAATCCTAAGTCATCTGATAACTGACATTCAAGTCGAAGACACTCTCTTTGACTTGTCTTAAGAACCTTACATTTGTAGGGAGACGATTCGGCTTCAGGCGATACTCTTATCGAAGTACCTGTCATCGCACCCATCCTAGTCGACTTACGGTTCACCGTAACATAGGGAATGTGGGCAACAATAAAGAAAAGCTGCAGAAATTTCGCTGTCGGACAATATGCTACATGTGTGATGAGACTGAGTGCATTTCAATAGACAGGTTCCGACAAATAATTGAGATGGAATAACTTTCAGAAGGCACAGCTTAGAGGCTTGGATTTACCAGTAGTCAGGAGATGCTTGAGTACCGTGACATCCAATGAAGGGCCATCACCGAGTGTAAATCATTCTAGTGAACCAGAAAGCTTAGGCAATGCATATTTGAAAGTGTGCGTAACACAATCCACTCATGAAGGTTGGTTTCATTTGGTCAGATGAGATTGTGAGTGCATTCAATTAAAATTGAGAATGATGAACGAGAATAAGTGAACGAGCTCGATAGAATGAACACCTACAGCTTATGAATGGTGTTTAAGTTCTCAGCATCGCGTTCTATACACCGTAAAAATGTTGTCGGTAGGTTTCGAACCAACTCCAAGAGAAACAGATTTTGATTCTGTTGTAGTAACCACTTTGTTAAGAACAGTTAGATGGACCTCTGAGGAAACCATCCATGAGTGAATATCATAGTGTGTTCCGATAGAAAAAGACCTATCATTCGGCAGGTTTCGAACCTGCACGGTTGAAGAGAAACAGATTTTGATTCTGTTGTGCTAACCACCCAGCTAGGACCAGTTAAGATGAACATCTGATGAAGCCATCCATGAGTAGATATCGAAGTGTAGGCAAAAAAAACCTTGTCGTCGGCAGGTGTGACAGATTTTGATTCTGTTGTCGAAACTACCTGGCTATAAGACCAGTTGACATAGACCCTCAAGAAAACAATCCATGAGCGAATCTTCAAGGCATGCTCCGATATAAAAAACCTGTCGATCAGCAAGTTTCGGACCTGTATAGTTTAAGAGAAACAGATCGATTCTGTTGTAGTAATCACTTAGCTACTAATAAGACCAGTTAGATGAACATCCGACGACATGAGTGAGTGTCGAAGTGTGATAAGACATTTGCCGATAGGTTTTGAATCCGTGCTACCCAATATTTCTGGTGCCAGTTCAAGGCTTAGGCTATGACTACGTAAGATAGACCTTGAAAGATCTATCCATGAGTGAATATTCTAGGCGTGATAAAAGGACAAAGAGTGTTGAGCAGGTTTCAAACCTGCAACAGATTTTTGTCCTGTCACGCTTACCACTTGGCTAAGACTGGTCTAGTACAAGTCGAAGAATGTCATGCATTGATGGTAGAATCACATAGGATTAGCAGTCATTTGCCAACGCAAAATGAAATAAATAGTTTGATGGACGCAAAACAAGCACGAGTCGGGCCCGGCTGGCGCTATGCCCCTAATAGTTATTAAATAATTCTCACGGGGTCAAAAAGTGCCACTGAGCTGACTGGTCGACCTTGTGATACAAGGTAACATGATAGCTTTATAGCACTATCGGTCATATTGCGAGCTAGCGCTTAGGCCTCAGGTGCCATTATGTACCGTGTATCGGTGGCCCTCAAAGCGTGTGGAAAGCCAATAGGAGGGCAATATGCAAGTGCACGAAATTGTAAGTTATGTCTTTCACTCAGTCGTACAATACCAACTCGCTCTTAACAAATCGAAGCACTTATTCAGTAAAAGGTCGATTGATGTGCGCCATTGACCAGCAGGATGACATGAAATTCCAGTACTGGTTAGGGTGATAAACAGGAGCGAGAGGGGAGGAGCCTGAGCCAACAATGGTTGAGTCCTTCCATCCCAGCGCCTGTCGCCATTAATATTCTCGAGCAACTACTACTAATAGTTGATTGAGACGTAGCAGCAAACCACTACCTGGATCTTCGGCACCTGGGTCTCAACGTGCCGCCTCCGCCTAAATCATTCTTGACGCCAAGCAGGGCAGCAGTGAAACAAGCCTGATGCATCTTCTGTCTTTTTCATCCCCCTTCCTGGTAGCGCCTTGCCTGCATTCATCATCCCTACATCTTGTTTGAATATCAAGCCGAGGCCGCTTGCTTAGGATATCACAACTAATTGCATTTGCAGCACCTGATAGTACTTGGGTATTCACTCATTCGTACTCTCTGTCGTGCAACGTCTATATTTCTGGCCAAGAACACGACATTTCGCAACCAAGCTCTACCGCACCGAGTTGATTTTTATCCCATTGTCCGATTACCCCAATTTTTTTTGTAACAAGATCCGAGTACTCCTCGTTCCTTTGCTCATGACATTTCGGCTTGACAGAAGTCCAAGCATCCACAAGCAACTTTCCGGAGCATAGTGATCACCCTTCCCAAAAGACTATCGGCTCTTTGGAGTTTCTGGATAAGAAAACGAGACTGCGTCACCTGTACACCCATCCCCGACGAAGCAGGCTCGACGGCTGCTTGCTCTCCCTGCACAGAAGAGGGGAAAAAAGAATAGCCTCGTATGGAATTCATTCGCGCCGACCTCGAAGCGCACTTCCTTTGCCCGAACTGTGTGTGCCGTGCGAGCAGAGTTTCAAAAATAACCCGGTATCCTATCTTGCCGCCCATCACCGCTCAAGAACACTGCACGTCTTGACAGTTTTCTTTGTTCGTCGCGGTATATAAATATAGAAATTCTCTCTCCTATCTTACCGAACATGTTGAAGGCTAAGGTCTTAGTCACCCCTAGACCCCAACAACTCTTCGGCTAGTATTCCTAAGCCAAGCAAATCCTAGCAAATCCATTTGTCTTATGGCATAGAAGGTATCTGCGGCGGTCTTGCGCTACATTTTACCCTGTTGGAAATCAATCCGTCAACATAGTAGTATAGATATTTCTTTTTGTTTGGTGTCGCGTTTACTACCTTCAACGTACTTACTAAATACGGTAACTCCGCTCCAGGTACATTCGCTCGTCTCGTTTTCCCCTTCTTCCCCAGTCTGTTCATACTCGACTGGGGTAAGTCTCACTATATGATACTCACATTCCTTACTGATGTAGTACAGGACTTACGAAGTCCTTGTCTCTTTAGGTACATACTATATTAGTCTGTTCATACTCGACTGGGGACTTACGAAGTCCTTGTCTCTTTAGACGTGTGACGTCTCTTATACCCATGTCGTCCCCCACTCACTTTCTCTTCCACCCTCATTGTTACAAAGTCTACCCTTAACCAGCACTGATGTTTCCTCGGGGTTTGTCATTCTCGTCAACTTGTTGGGCGAGAATTTGTACATTGACGATTAGCTTCACTCTTTGGACGAGAATTTGACTTATGATGGACGATGAGCCTCACTCGTTCCCCGTCTATGCATATCGTTCATATTTAATTTTGTAATTCTGTTTACTGCCGCATCCCAATGCCCATTTTTTAATCTACTGGCTGTCCGCCTGTGAAGCCTGTGCCTCGTCAGGTGCGCCATTCAGTGTGCTAAAAGTGCTGATTGGTAACATTTGAGACTCGATGTGCAGTCCAAGTCTTCGACTTTTCCGAAGGTAGCTGAACAGAATTAAAACTTGGCAACTCAGCACCGCTCGGTAAGATATTTTCTGCTCGTGTATGAGGTCAAGCACCATCGCACAATTGCTGACGCCTGGTCCTGCGGTCTCCTTCTGCCTACCACCCCTAACCTCCGACTTGCGCCCGCGCCACGCGCCAGGCCTAATCGCAACTGCACGAAGCCTGGAGCTGCCTCCACGCCTCGAAAACTTATCAATACCTCCCACGCCAGAGTGTGACCTCTGGAGGTCCTCCCACTATTGCCTGTTGTCGCCTAGTCACCAGGAAAATATCGGAGTGTTTATTCAGCTTCATTCTACTTAGTAAACCACATGAGATAGAAGGTGATTTAAAAAAAATGCGAGTAAATTTGATCACAACAAACACTGAACATTGACTCATGGGGATACGAGATTATTTTTTCCCAAACAAAGTTAAGGAGACATGTCTACTATGTTCTATGCTCGTCCAACTTCGACGAAGGATCTCAAAATGGATCCGAAGCTATCAATGTCGTTCGAGTTGCCATTCACGAATGCGATAAGGTTGTCCTGCAGCAGTTGCGAGGGGAATATTCATTTTATATCTGGAATTCTCGAGATACGATGATGATTCTGATAAGACACGAGCAGTACTACAATCCTCCATACCTGCGGGCCTGGGAGATGCGGTTGAGGCCGGATATATCGATGCTGAATAACTCCGTGACGGCATGTCTGGCATTATCATTATCGGCGGTATAATATAAGATGAGTTGGGCGGAGGAAAGGGGGCGACGGCCACACGGCGGCATGCCTGGCATCCATGAGCTAAAAACATGCCTTCACTAATCACTGGAGAAGGACGAGGACAGCGAAAGTGACGGAAGAGTGGAGATTGGTGTGATGGCCATGGAGGGCGGTGAAACTTGACTTGGGAGTTAGAAAAGGATGGCGGGTATTCCGGACAACCAAAGTGATGGGTAATGAACAACCCGAGTCGTAGGTGGCACCTCTTCATGTTCGCGTTTACAAGTGCCAGCCTGAAAGTTGTCCCGTTCATGATCAAGATATTTTTACCACCGCTTATAGTCCCAAGCAGCTGACGAGGTTTTCGAGGTCTTGCCACATTACACTGCGCGTACCTCCATGGGGAACCAGAATGGCTGAGTCATAACCCAATCGCCATCAGATCTACCAGTCAGCGATACTTATCGACCTCAAGATGTAGATCCAGATAGGAATAGGCGGCCCCGTTTGCTTTCTCATTGGCGTGATACCTGTAAGTTTCATCAATGTTTAATTCAAATTATCGCGGGATTTTCTTCTAGATGCCGCTTGAAAATAACTACTTATTCGTGCAGGATGTCTCGTCTCAATAGTCAACCCAAGCGTCTACAATGGTTGGTTCGTATCATATCAATTACCCTCCCGTCGATGGATCCCTGTTCCTCCCTGAATTGCTGGAATTCAATGCGCAACATAACTCGGACGCTACTTTCTTTGTCTACGACAAACCTGACAGCAATGACCTAGTCTCTATCTCACACTCACACTTCTATCGAGCTTGCCATCGGGCCGCCCATGCGATTAGGCCAGCCTCCACAGGCGCAGACAAAGAAGTTGTCGCCCTCATTGCGAATTCCGACACCCTTCTTTACCAGACAGTATTCATGGGCATAATCTTCGCTGGGCTAGTTGTATGTACATATATTTTCTGAATGAGCGGGCTTCTGATCACTGCTATTTAAAGCCATTCCCCATGTCCCCTCGTAATTCGGCGGCGGCAGTCATGAGCATGATGCAGAAAACAGGATGCCGTCGTATAATCACGACTCAGCACTCTCTTGCTTCCTTGATTGACGAAGTCAAAGCGGGTCTTGTGTCTGACACTCAAACGAGCCAGCTGCAGATCGACGAGATTCCGGCGTTGAATCACCTGTACCCCGGGCTCGTTAGTGGTACTACTACCGCAGATGAGGCCATTGTCCCGTACTCTTCCCCAGGTTTACGGTCGTCTAAGGACGATGTATTATTCTACCTGCACTCCTCTGGCAGCACTGGCTTCCCCAAACCTATTCCGATAGGTAACCTGACTGCCATCCACTGGTGCACCACGCGTGAGTTGTAAAATAATCTGCGTAGTAAACAATACTAAGATGGAGTGGCATTAGCATCTATTCTCGAGCTCAGAGACGTTCCCATTCATATCCGCATCAATGCTGCGTCCTTGCCATCATTCCATACACTTGGTATAAATTTTCAGCTGTTCGCCCCCATCGCCACCCTGAGCAGTGTGTCGATTTATCCGCCTACATCCTTCCTCGATCCATTGGCGGCCCCTGTAATACCCAACTCGCAAAACATCTTGGATTCTATACTCAAGACGAAATCGAATGCTATGATAGTCGTGCCTGCCTTTCTGGAACAATGGGCATTTTCGCCGAGTGCTATCGATATTTTGAAGACACTCGAATATATTGTAAGTTTTTTTATTGATGCTGTGACAAGGAATGACTCGCGTTGATACCAATACAGGCTTATGGTGGTGGTCCTCTTGCGCCTAAAATGGGAAATACCCTGGTGAATGCAGGGGTCAAAGTTTCTTGTGGTTACGGCGCTACAGAAATTGGTATCGTCACTTATTCCTTCCGAAATTCGGCAGAGCAAAAGTTATGGGAGTGGGTGCGATTTGGACCAAATTCCAAGATCAGATGGGATCCACAGGGCGATGATACATACGAATGTCAAGTTTTGGTGCGTCTCCGAGTTGATATTCAAACATCCTCTCGGTGTTAAATAGTTTCTCGCAGACAACCCCGACGCATAAAGTGTCGGTAGAGAACCTTCCGGACGTCAAGGGTTATGCTACTTCGGATGTATTTATCAAGCACCCGACAATAGAGGGCTTGTGGAAGATGTACGACTGAAATTTGCGTAATTCATCTTCTCTGACATTTTGCTTGCAGCGTAGGAAGAATCGACGACGTGCTAGTACTCTCATCTGGGGAGAAGACAGTACCAGCTCCCATGGAAAGCACCATCTGCGCTAACCCCTACGTAAACGGCGCGGTCCTCTTCGGCCGTGGGCGCAATCAAGTTGGGATCCTCATAGAGCCACGAGTAGGGTGTGAAATTGACGTTCATGACGGAAAACAGCTTGCTGAGTTTAGGAACCGAGTGTGGTAAGTCTCCTAAAAGATCTTATCCTACTGGCGAGTCTAGAGATATTCTTGAAGGCCGGACGTAGAGGAAGCGAATAACGAGGCTCCTGCCTTCAGCAGGATCTTCAAAGAGATGATTCTTGTGACAAGCAGTGAGAGGCCTATGCCCCGAGCTGGAAAAGGGACCGTCAACAAGAAAGCAACCGTCAAGCTGTATGAGGAGGAGATCGATGCCCTGTGAGCATAGTCCCATTCGTCACTCTGTCAACTAGACTTCATGACCGGCAGATATGAAACGGTAGAGGGTAGCGCTAAAGCAGGAATTGATGTACCTTTGCCTACAAGCTGGACTGCGGAAGATGTCGAGGAATGGCTTAAGATCCACGCTGCTGCTGTAAACGCCGACAAGGCAGTTGATCCTGATGCAGACCTTTTTTCTCAGGGCTTCGACAGGTGGGTCGAAAACTAGTCAAGGCTAGTGCTCTGCTTACTCCGCACATCTAGCCTCTCTGCGACATTCCTCAAAAACCGCATTATAGGCTCTCTCAGCTCGTCTTCGGATCCTGATGTTCAGGCATCAGCATCGCGGATTGACCAGAACATCATATTCTCGAGTCCTTCGATTCGCCGGCTCGCGAGAAGCGTCATTAATACAGTACTGCAGCAGAATGGTACCAGTACCGTCGATCCCAAGACTGATATCGAGAACACGATCGAGCGGTATTCAGTCGGATTGGCGAACTCTGCCACAGAGGCCAACACCACTCTTGCGAATCGGTGCAGCCAAAGTGATCACGTGGTTGTTCTGACCGGGTCTACGGGTGGTCTTGGATCATACCTGCTTGCAGATCTGCTTCAACACGAGGACGTGTCTGTGGTGTATGCCTTCAATCGCCCGTCAAGGGGGGCATCCATTCAAGAACGACAAGAATATTCGTTCAAAGATCGCGGTTTAGATTTTACCCTGCTTCAGTCAGACAAGCTGGTGTATATAGAAACTGATACATCCGATGATCACCTAGGTTTGGATAAGGAGTTATTTCAGAAGGTTTGCGTCATTTTCAGTGCCGTCGAATTAACTAAAGATACAGTAGATCCGCACGTCTGTCACCGTCATCATTCACAACGCTTGGCGGCTCGACTTTAACCTGGCGCTATCGTCGTTCGACTCTCATTTGCGGGGAATGCGGAATCTTATAGACTTGGCTCTATCTTCTCCGCGTCATCCAAAGCCGCGTTTCATGTTCGCATCTTCCATCTCATCTGCTCAAAGTTGGGGTAGAGCGAAAGGCCCATTCCCTGAAGAAGTGGAATACGACGCAGGGATCGCAGTGGGTCTTGGCTATGGCGCGAGCAAGTATGTTTCGGAAAGGGTAAGTCACGAGCTACTTCGGAGGGCATGGATTCTACGAATACTGTTCCAAATAAGGTTCTCGTCAACAGCAAGTTACCGGCAACATCATTCAGAATTGGACAAGTATCAGGGGGACCCCCGCGAGGAGCTTGGTCCACGACGAACTGGGTGCCGATCTTCGTCAAATCCAGTGTTAGTCTAGGCGCGCTTCCGGAAGCCCAAGGAGTAAGTCCATCACTATCGAGGGTATCTATCTATGACGTGCGCGTTTCAGTTTTTGTCTTGGATCCCTCCCCACGCGATATCAAATGCCATTCTTGATGTAGCTTTTGCGGCAGAAGAACCTCCCATCGTGGTGAATCTGGTGCATCCGAGACCGACTGCGTGGAAGACGTTGATACAGCCCATTGCGAACGCCATGGTCGAGCATAAAATCACAAGTTCCCCGCTACCTTTTGTGCCATTCTCGGAGTGGCTCGAGAGGCTCGAGTCAAGTGCCAAGGACGTGAGCGAAGAGACCATGAAGCGCATCGTACGTGTATCTCGATAGCCTGCCAGAACGTGTTCCCATCTAGTCTTCAATTACAGCCTGCTATCAAGCTTCTCGACTTCATGCGTTCCATGGCTCATTCAGACGTCGCGATCAGGGCGTCTGGAGTGATGGACACCGAAGCGGGTGGCATGACCTTATTCGCCACCGCCGTAGCTGAGCGCGCCAGTCCAACGATGAGAGATCTGAAACCGCTGTCTTCAGGGGACGCGGCACAGTGGGTGGATTATTGGGTGGAAATGGGGATGTTTCAATGAATATGTGAGTAAGTGGCGGTTATCGATTGTCTCCTTGTCTTTAACAACGTGGATGGTCAGAACTTGGAGGATTGTACTTGTAGTTCTTTTGAATTGTTTTTCAAGAAATGCCGATGCGGATGCAACTTTGGGTTTCGCCTGTTTGCTCAGCTAGCTGTTTAATTTTCAAATGTTCTTCACATTTTGTACAACATATAAACTCTTCCTAAATATACATCGGTAACTGTGATGTGTTAGTACAATGTAAGCTTTAAGGTAAGCTAGTAGGGAAAAGGGAGGTTACGGACAAAATTTTGATGGTGCGTTGCAACGTGCAAACATGACTTCGAAAAGGCAGTAGAGATTGTTTGGTTACAAATTCTGGAAAAGTGGTAGATAATTCGAGCTGATTATATATGGGGAAGACAAGTGTAGCATGCATACGTACAGCTCACAGTATTCAATGAAACTGATTCAGAATCTTGAATTTTGATAGGCGTGTAAATCATGTAATGAAATGTCGGGGACGGCTACTGAGTCCTACAAGGCGTACGTACTATATGCGGAGTTTTTCAATATAGCGTACTCTACTGCTTCTAAGGGATGTTCTTCCAGACGCCTTATCACACATTCCCTTCTCAGACAAGGCGACTGGTTCACGAGACTAGCACGTACCTTGGGGACCCGAATCACTTCAGAAGTCACTCAGAATGGCTTCATCAGTGAATTCAAGAGTCCTCGATATTATAACCACGCGAATTATAGAGAGACATAATTTTGCTCTTACCAGATACAACCATTTATACATCGATAAATTTGACGTCTTGGTACATAGGCATGTTTGTCTGCAAATTTAGGTTACCTTGAGGCATCCATGACAATGGTGCGATACATCGACATCACGGCCAGCAAGGTATTGTCGTGTCACCGTATCCCTATTGTCATGTATGCCTATTTTTCTTATTCATTGTTTTGAATTACAAAGCTATCTAAGATTTTACCATGGAATGTTGTGTTAGCATTGGAAGTAAAATACATATTACTACGGACACTTGTGAACATGTGCTGATGTTGCACCATTGCGGTTAGCAAGGTCACGTATCGCAATTGTATCCCAACTTAACAAATATCCTCATTTCTACCCTTATGCGTCCAATTGAAAGGCTATGTAAGTTGAACGGTCGGACTAAAATAGACTAAAATGTGTGAACGAAAATAAGACGCTCAGTCCTACTGCTTCCGTCCGAAGACATCATTCCGAGTCAGAGATATCGGAATAATCTACAGGACTCGAAGTCTCGAAGCAATAGAACTTGAAGATGTAGTAAGTAGAGACAATTTAAAAAGAAAGGTCATCAAACATGTCCTCCTCGTCTCCCTCCTCCTCATCTTCCTCCTCCTCCCCATCATCATCACCTTTTTGACCCTCATCATCACTATCTTCGCTGTCATAGTCACCGTCGATGACATCCATGGCATCATCTGGTGCTACTAGATCAGAGCTAAGACATTCTCTAATCATCTTGCGCAACATTACTGGATGACCAATGCCAAAGTGAGTATAGCGCATGAACATATCTCAGTCCACAAATCTGACCCAAAGGTTGTGAGTCAACAGCACCATTAGCAAAGAATATTCAGACTCACATGCCGATGTAATACTCTTCCCAGTTGTCTAGCTCCCCCCCAGGGCGTGCTACCGATTTCCCATACCAAAGCCAGCTTGTACCATGCTCTGAGGCAAATATGGGAATCAAGTGAGCCCCTCAAACCACTTGCCCCAGATCAAGAAACCCAAATGCATCAGGGTCTGTTTCATCCACAAATGAAACCTTTGGAAGGCAAGCGTGTTTCATGCTGGATTTGTGATTTCATAATGGTGCCAACCACCTGACCCAGAGGAACTTGAGATGTTGCTGGTTAGGTTGGGCTCCGTTGTTGATCCAAGCTTCCATGTGGTAAATACCCAATATGTGGGCATACCAGTATGGATGAGTAGGTGTGGTCTCCCCCGAAAGTACCATGATATCAGCATGTGTTCTAGGGCTGACAGTGTTGTATTCTCACCTGAGGTCATATGTAGTGTAGTGTACCTGCATGGTTTGGACTGAGTAGATCATATTATTAGGAATGATAATCAAATTGTGTTCCTCATCTGTAAAGGTGTGATCACAATAGCTGATATCCAGCTTCTGCAACCTGTAAAGAACGTGGTCCTTGAGTTTGGGGATGAAATTCTGACAACAATCGTGAGAAAAGTGTAAGGTGCATCCCCACTGCAATATTATGTCTACCTTAACCGCCAGATCACCCTTGTGTTCTCGAAGAAATTGAAATAAATTGATCGGATTGTCCCTATTGGCTGCAATATGGTGATGTATGTTGGAGGACGCTGAAGGGGGAGCATCGGCGGGTGATCAGCTGTCAGAGGAGGATGCACCTCCAGCTTCTGCAACCCGCCGAAGTACATGGTGCCTTCATTTGTGCTTAGCTAGCTGCGTCAGGGTGTCCAATTTGCTGGTCAATGGATAAAACGCCTTGAGAGCTCTGTGTGCAAGTTCCCCCTGGCCAAATTTAACTTCCATAGACAGTGAAAATACAATGTGTGCATACCATTTGAGTAGTGAAGGAATCTGTGGTCCCAAAGAATCTAATAGATCTCGCATAATCTGCCATCGCATGAAATTTGTAGGTGTTCAGGTTGAATTTCTTTGCCCTCGGCCTGCTCAAGTCTGCAGAAGTTACATTAGTCCTGGACTGTTCAGTGAACCTTCGTTGATGAGCTGCTTTCTCCTTTGGTAACTCTGTAGTATTGAAGGTAGCACAGGTATCGCATTGAAATTTCCACAACATCTGAGAGAGTTTCTTGAATGTATCTTCCAGAAAAGTCACCATAGAGCCTGAGTGCATCCTGAGCTTGATGAGTGCGTGCCACTGCGCAAACCGATACAGCAAAGACTGCACGACTCTGTCATGATTGGCAGGAAACAACCCTTCGAAAACTGGGATAGCACACTGACGATGAAGAACATGTTAGCAAGGCAAATGAAGAAAACGAGTCACGCAAAAACCTGTAATATATCTTTGAAGTCCCATGCTGCTAACTTTTTCATCTTGGAAGTATTGTTTGTGAACTTTCAGATTATGCCATTGCCAAAGGTCGGAACCTGATGAAATCTACGGGGAGATTGATAATCGTTAGCAAGTAATAAAACTCTAGGTGAATTCTTCCTACCTGCAGTTGAGGGCTGTGACTAGCTGGCTACCATTAGGAAGGGCATACAGAAGCCTGATGAGGTGAGTCAGTAGTGCTTTCCAAGTACCCAACTCACATTTGTGCATGAAGTTGACCATGAGCATGCAGAAGGGGTCGAGGCTGAACGGTCCAAGTTTCTGCACAAATCGATTCTGTGGGTAGCTGGTTTGGGCCCATCAAAGATTGGAAGGATCTATATGCACTTACCACAGTCAGTATCCAAGAACCCTCTCCAAGGGTGTTTTCAACCTTCGAACCATCTATTGTATTCCCCCCCTTGTAGATATACTCACGAGCCTTGAGGACCTTTGTCATAGCATATATACATAGATTTTGTGTGCGACTTCGCATGTCCTTGACAAGACCAAGAGAGTCAAATGACTTTTTTGGGGTGAGACAGCGAGGGCAAGCACATGAGCCCATATCTTTGATCATTGCAATTAAAACCGTGGAATTAAATGAGCAATCTAACAGCTTTACCCATAAAAAAAGCGAAATTACTTCTTGGGATAATCAGCAGAATATGTAAAGATTCGGGGAAACACCCTGTGCAGCACACCATCTGCACATTTCAGGACAATACCATGCTGATATGCAAGAAGAAAGTCCTTGTCAAGCAAAATATCCCAGCATCCATGGAACAATTCCCAGCGGCAGTGAGTATGAAGTGATGCCATGCCAGTTTTTGATATGCACCATAGGCCACTCAAAATATCTTTAATGCTGTCAGGAAGCTGACAAGGCAGTTTACATGAACAACTAGTCAATAGGCATCTCATAAGGAGCACTCACTGAAGGCAAGAACCCTACAAGGTGGCATGCTCCTGATTGAGGTGACGATCAGGCGTACTTCATCATGTTTCCAAAATAGAGGTAAAGCGGCCAAGCTTTCGCGGTTCCAAAGTTCACTAGGTGAGTTGCATCAGAAAAAAACATAAGTCCAGCTACAACCTGTTCCAAGGAACAATTAGGTTCCTTTGGCAACTTTTGGAGATCATCCTGCACCTCTAGCCATGCATCTGAGGTATAGAGTTTGTTGAATATTCACTCCTGATGACTGTCCAAAGGATCTTGCCATAGCCATTTGAAGGGCGAAAGATGGAAAGCATGGGCTTGGACATCTGCAAATGCTGCGTGGATTACTTCAACTAGTGGGCAATAGTGGAATCCATGAATAGTATATGCTATAGGACCTTCCTCGGTTGATTTTGTAGGAATGTTGATAGTAATGTCAGTCTCAACCCAATCATCTGGGAAAGTAATTCTCTCCCTGCTGTCATCCTTATCCAATTTCCACAAGCTCTTCCTCAGTGAAAAGCCTTCAAGATCCTTGATGTCAAAATCATCGGCCTGTAAAACATCTGTGATGAGACGCTGGACCTCAGCCTCTGATTTCCTGTGACTACCTGAATTCATCCAGGATACAAGCCAATAAATAGTCATATTGAGAAAGGGGTAGGGCAGTGGCAAGACATCGGGTAAACCTGGGGAGTCCATTTCTTGAACTGCCATTGGACATGTCCTTGCGAGTAAGGTGGATGGAATAAACTTATCTGGCTCAAAGGAAGGATGACGGGGGTATAGTCTACTGAGTCCGAATAAGTTAGAGACAGTCTGAATGGCATCCTGTAGCGTTAAAATGACCTGTTGAATTCTGCTCCGGTGTGGGAGTGATGGCCTGGGGACATCAGCAGTGTTATCAGAGCCATTCAGATCCTTGACTGGATGTTCAATATCATGGAAAGACCTGGGAACCCTTCTACTAGGAAGTGCAGGCCTGGCTGAAGTCAAGCGATTAGCAATGCCCAGATGCAGGGGTTGAAACAGGCCTACACAAGTTGCACAGTTCAGATCTGTTTCCAAAGTTGGGGCCCTCTAAGTCCATTTCTGAGTCCATGGCAGCAGGGAAATAGGTTTCTCCCCTTTCTGAGTTTGCATCTGCATCAAAGGGGGACTGCGAGGGCTTGGGACTGGGGGAATCAAATAATGCATGGGCTGTAGAGGATTTGCAAGGTGCATTTGTTCTTGGATGGACCTTCACTGCATGATGCATGAGCCTGAGTCTTGCCAGTAATGGTGATCTCTATGCAGCACACAGTTACTTCTCTTGAGTGCACTTCACCATAAAGGACCACTCACTTATGATGCATTTACTGATGGCTTTGGAACTAAATTTGCTAGCGCCACATCCCTTGCTTGTTGGGCTCTCCTTTGGCTTGCAATGATGCTAGACATTCTAAAAAAACAACAACTTGTGCAGTGCCTGTTAAGTCCTCAGGTATCCGTTGGCCTATTCAATGAGCAACCCCAAGCACCGCAAGACACCATTGACAGAATAAGGAGCAGGATCCAGATAAACTCGAACTGCATGGATTGCAGTCTGGGTCGTCAATGCATGTACATGGATTTGTTGAAGTTCCAGACACTAATAATAACTCACTAGATAGTCACATGATGTTCAGATATGCTTGCAAGCTGCAAAAACCTGATTGTGAATGGTCAAGCAGAATGCATTATCAATGTGATCTTTACATAAAAATATTGAGGTAAAGGACACATGCATGGGAGTAGTAGAACTACGATAACTTGAAAGCCGGAGGTGCTCCACAAACCTGAAAGTGGCGTATAGTAAACATCAAAGAACCCACACTACGAGCCATAAAACATGCCCTGGAGTCTCTCATGCAACTTTCCGCCCAGCGCTTGCTGAGCAAATTCCACTCAGTCTGCTATCCACTCCCCACTTGTTTCAAAGCAAGCTGGGGGATAAATAACTGTTTCTTCATGAACCTGTTGGTACCTCAGCATGTCACGCACAGCACGTCCCTCTCCTTTCTCCACTATCATCTTTAACAGCTTCTTGGCTACATCCTCTTGCTCATAGGTGGAGGGTTTCTATGGCAAGAGACTCGGGGAAGGGCGAAGTAGGAGGCAGGATGGTAATAAAATGAAGAAGGGCATTGGCTGGCTCACATAGTGCCACAGTGTTAGTCTGAGAGGATGAAGCAAGGACAATGAGGCACTGGAGAGCGACAGGATTAGGCAGGGGTGTGTCTGAAGGGGGCAGTGTAGGGGTAAGCAGGAATGTCTGTATTAGGGCAGGGAGCAATAGAGGTGTCTTCATAATTGATTCAGCAATACTATTCAACTCCTGCGATAACTGATAGACAATGGACAGAAGCTGGGCCAGGGATTTGGGGGCAAGTATGCTTGTGTGAAGAGCTCTGTGACTTGGGTGAGGAAGTCGGGCATTTGTGAAGTGGATATGACGGCAGGAGCAAGGTCTAACTTGGCATGTTCAGCATCAAACATCGCATTCCGGCCAATAATATGCATAGTGGGAGTCCCTCGCTTGCATGCCAAACTGGCGCACAATGCTGACTAAGATATTGAGCATCGTGGTACATTGTGCAGGGACAGTGGAGCGAGACAGCAGAAATATACCATCAAGAGTGTACCCTGCGTGATCTCCATCTGCATGGTGGTGCAAGCCCAGATAAGAAGGCAGAGCGGCAGAAATCCTGCAGGTATGGGAGCACCAGTCAGATTGAAGCAAAGCAAAACAGGCTCCAAATGGGATGATGATGAAGGTTCCATCCAAGACACAGATGGGTCACTGTTGTCTGCAGGCACATTCAGGAAATATCATCTCTGGACATATTCTGGAGTGCCTTTTTCAGGCTCTGATCTATAATCTGTAATCTTCTGCTCAGACCTATCATCACCCCTGGGGCTTGCAGGAGAAAGTGGTCGCGGCAAACCATTCTCTTTAAAGGTACCCAGAGAAATAATTGATGGGTCTGGAGCATATGGAGGCAGAGGAAGTGCAATGGACTTTCATTTGGGAGACACTGGGGCAGACTCATACATGTAGACATCAGCAGGCGTCAATGCTGCAAAGTGAAGCTGATGGCTAGCCTTACTGGGTGATGAAGGCCTAGTGCTGCTTTTCACCAGGATTGGGGGAGCTAATATGCAGCTTTTGTGTCAAAATACCCATCAATCCAGGGAGTGATGTGCCTCTTTTCCCAAAATCTTCCAGGCTCTTGACTCTTGAAAGGTTACATCTAGTAGCAAGACCTGGTAGTGGAGAAATGATCATAATTTTGTGGGAGACCACTGGAACCTGCTCATTTTGTGCAAGTATACCCTCAGCTATAGCAGGAGCCTTCGTTGTATTCCTCGATCTTGCAGCACATACATGCTCCAGAAGGCCACCTGCACCATTTCCCAGTTGTGTGCTGGCCAATAGTGTTAGTGTAGGGGAACGAGGTGTGAAGTAGCACAGACACTAGAGTGGCTGCTAGAGTGAGAGTGAGATTTACTATGAGTAGGCTGAATGGTAAGATGGTGGTTGAGATGTTAAATCTGGGGAAGCTGTTGGTGGTGGGGATCGATGTCAGGGATATGTCCGCGTGACATGGAGGTAGCCTGGGGAAAGTGAGGAGATAGATAGGTGGAATGAGATGGAACTTACAGGGGGGCCTGTGCCATGTGGTCATATTTGCTATGTTCATTACATAGTCATTTGCATGGAGACTGGGGTTGCATGATGAGATTGGAGTGGTCATTGAAGCTGCCTGAGCGAGGACAAACACCATGAGTGGATGGAGGAGGGGGGAGTGGGCCTGGAGGGAGTGCAGCAGAACTGAGAGATGAAGATGTGTAATGATAATGAGATTGATGGTATGAACAAGGTGGTGGTTCTACAGTGATGCTGGGATTTGCAGAGTAAGGGCCATGCTGGATTTGATTTGGGATTGGGGTCAATACAAGATGGCCGCCTGCATCTCTAAGGATGCACTGAAAACCAGCACATGTGTCAGCAGCATGGGATTTCAACGATAGCAGCAAGGTATTTATTGAGTTCTTCATAGGATTCAAGAACAATGCATCTGCATGCTTCTGCCTCACCTCTCGGTCTATGGGCATGGGCTACACATGCCTCTGCTTTAGGCGAGTGGTTTAGCATATTCCAGGCGCTATGTGCAAGTGCGCTGGACTGCTACAAGGGCAGGACATCTGATAAATAGATGATCGTAAGGGCTGAATTATGATACCAGACAAACATGGAGTTGACGGATCGTTGGACCCTCTGTGGAATGAGTGGTGTCAGAAGTGGAACAACGGTCAATTAAGGGTGACTAGTAGCCGAGCAAGGGCATGGATGTGCAGGGATTTTGACAGCAATGTTGCCTTGAGCTGACCGCCAATAAGAATGCCAGGCTGCTTCATGACCTTCTCCGAAATGCAATGTGCAACTGCATAATAGTCCACCTTGCCCTTGTCATCTTGGGCATCAGCACTGACCTGGGCACCCAACATGGCCTTGTTTGCAGGGCCTTCCTCTTGGTCAAAGTTCATATCCAATGGGCCAGACTCATTCTGCTGTGCCATGACAGCCTGTGCAAGTGAATCGAGATAGGCATCCATCTGCTGCAGCAAATGGGTGATGCGCGTATCCTTTGCTGTATCAATAAGCTTCATATATGCCTCCTCATCATCTGCCTTAAGCACCTTCAAATGCTCCTTCGATATCCTCTCAATACACTTCTGCTCCTCTTTCTCAGTGAATGCATGGAATGACAACACAGCACGCCCAAGCTTCGTGACCCGGTCTTGTGCAGAACAGTTCACAGCGATGATGTCCCGTCCATGTTGACAGATGACGCTGAGCTGCTTGACGTGCTTGTGTTTTGCACGCCTCTCATGGTCGATACATTGCTTGCGTTCTGCCTGCTTGGTCATGTGTGCATCTCTGAGCATGGGATTGCAGGTCCATCTAAAGTCCACGCGGTTGAGTGGAAGCAGGGTGCCTTGAGTCAGGTGCTCTGCAACACTTGCACACATAGCATGTTGCTTCTCGGGCACCTTGAGGGACTTGAGCTTGATCATTGCACGTAGCTTCCCATGTGGGGACAGCGCTGAGAGTTGCTGGTTGTCATTGGCAGGCTCTTGCTTGTGCAAGCTGAGGATAATGTCTGCCAGAGAATCAAAGTTGCCCTCGCCGATGGTGGCTGGAATCTCCTTGAGCTCTTTAATGCGCTGCTGGACACATGCTTCTATGAAGCGATCATGTTCATTGATGATCTGGTGCATGTCGAGGCCTACAGGCATTATGGAGGGGATGAGGAGGCACTGAAGGCGCATTGCGACCATAGTTGGGTCAATATTGGCTGGGCGCTTGAGGTGGGAGAAGGGAAGCTTGAATGCATTGTAAGGGTAGATGCCCGAGTTGACAGCTTCTTCGAGGAAAGGACCTTTGGGAAGATCAGCAGGGTCAATGGGAGGACCATGCTCTTCTTCTTTTATGACTTCAACTGGCACAGGTGTTTCGGTGGGTGGGGGCAGGGCAATGTAGCCTTTCTGTATTTTAGCAGCACTGTCGACTATACAGGAGGGTGCATCTGGGGCCTGGAGAAGCTTCTCGAGATCTGGGATAGCAGTGTTAGGAACATGAATTGCATGCTGTAGGTGGTCTGGGATGGGGGCTCTGCAGGTGATGAGTCTGTAGGCCATTATCTGAGCATGTAGAGCAGATATTTGATCTGGAGTGAATGATATGGGGGTAATGGGGGGGCCCTGGAACAGACTGTGGTGTGACCATTGACAGCAGCACCATTAATGAGACCATCAGTGGAAGGAGGTGGTTGTGGTTGGTGGCCATTTGACTGTGGCTGGTCTGGATGCAATTGTTTACCTAAAGATCATAAGTTCCGCATCCTTTAAATATTTCAAGAGACTGACTCATTTGGGTTTGTGAATAGACATTGACAAGCTGTGCAAGTTCAGGGGAGGTCTCTATTGTGGTGCCTGATTGCCTGAGGTCTTTAATGCGCTGAAAAGTGGTAAAGACATGTCAATCTCTGTAGTAGATCAAGACTTACCTGAACAACCATATCATAGTGTTGCATTTGACAGTGCTAAGCAGGCAATAACTGCTGCTGCTGTTGATTCATTGCAGACTGTAGCTGTTGATTATTAGTGAATGAATTTTGTTGGTGAACTGGCTGTATCAGGTGTTGGCCTTGCATGGCCATGGAGTGGCTTGTCCAGCCTACTAGTACATGCCTCCTCCTCAAGGTCAAAACAAAAGAAGGGAGGCCGTGGGAAATATTTTTGCGCAGCTGTTGTCAGCAAGTCATGACAGTCACATGCTTCATCCCTAATTGACACGTTTCTCAATAATTGACGTGTTGCTTTTTACCACCACCATGCCAGCTGAATGTGCAGGAGTATGCTTCTTTTTTCATTGTAATTTTATTTCTAACATGTTCTGAAGTACACAGTGACAATGTTCCTCATTGACGTCTCTCCATCAATGGGTGCAACAAGATCTGTAGAATTACCCCCTATGCCCAATGAGGAGCAGTGCATCACAGAGATGACTAACCTTGAATGGGCATTGCAATTCATAAAGCTCAAGATCCAAGAAATGGTAGGTTGACTAAACAGAGACTTGCTCTTATCTACTCACGACAATACAGATTTTCAATGGCCGCAAGACTGACCGATGCGGCATCATCCTATTTGGCTCCGAAGGTGCGCCACCATTTCTTGTATGCGTCATGAGTGTACTGACTATATTTCAGAAACAGATAACATCATTCACAAAAAGAACGGTGGATACCAACACGTATCAGAATACATTCCCATTACACATCCCAGCTCAGCCACCCTTGCCAAGCTCAATGCCCTCCAGCCCTCAGAGCACTCAGGAGATCGTGCGTACTGACTAATTTCTTAGGGTTCTGACATCTTATTCTCTGCAGCTATCGACACTCTCATCATCAGCATCGAAACACAAGACATCTACCTCAACAAGAGGTGCACATGGATGTGTAAAATTGTCATCATGACAGATGGCCAGAGTCCCATGGAAATCGAGGACTGGGAGGCGACTGTTTATAAAATGAATGCCAATGCTATATCTCTCACTGTCATGTAAGCTACTCGTTCAATTTTCTGTTTGTGTTCTGATTTGTACTTCATCAGCAGTGTCGACTTTGATGACAACAAATTCCCTTTCCACGAGGAGGATAAGTCTACCATCAAGGTACTTTCCTCCCCTCCATCCTCTCAGATCTAATCTCCTTTCTTGTCAGGTTGAAAATGAAGCATTTTACCACAAACTCACCTCAGCACTTGACAACAGCCTGGCTGGAACATGTGTCTTTGCTCTCCAAGAAATTGCCAGACCAGACATGAAGCAAACCAAATCTGCACTCATGAGCACTGTTCTCCGCCTTGGTGATGTCACTGTGCAACCAGAGGAAGCCATCAAAATCCTCGTCAAAGCTAGCAAATGCACAACCCTCACACATCCCAAGAGCTGGAAGAAATTTGGCCGACGCGAAAAAACTGATGACCAAATGCAAGTCGATGAGGAGGAAGACATGATGGTGTTTGTGCAGCTGAAGGTGCGTAGTGAGTACTACATCGATCACTCAACTAAGGAGAGAGAAGAACAGGATAAGATGAATATGGGCAGTGACGATGAGGAAGACAATGACAAGAACCTCGAAATGGTGCAGAAGGAACAGCTCATCAGGGGCTTCAAATACGGCTTCACATACACCCCGTGCCCTGATGGGCAGTTCCGATGCTTGAACACAAGAAAGGGCATCGACATTTGCAGGTTTTTCCATGCAAAGAACGTATGCATATCTTTTTATTTTCAGCGCATAGCTCACACAGACACAGTTCCACCAGGAGCTAGCAATGGGTGAAGTCCAATATATATGGGCAGACCCCAGTGCACCACAGCAGCAGGTCGCGCTCTCATCCATCGTACAAGCCATGTATGAGAAAGGTGTCCTTGCTATCGTGCGCTGGGTCTCTAAGGACAGCATGGACCCAAAGATGGGCATTTTAGAGGCATGCATTGATACAAACATTGATTTTTTGCTGTGAGTGCAGGTACGTCTCCCTCCGTCCTCCCCTACCCTCAACCTGAACTAAACTTCTTTGTAGATGCCCTTCACAGACGACATCCAGAAATACACCTTTGCCTCCCTTGAGAAGCTTGTATCAAAAAACGGCGAATCAGTCACAAAGCACCCTTACATCCCCACAGAAGATCAGCTCGAAGCCATGGGTAAATTTATTGACACCATGGACATCATGGATTCAGGGGAGAAAGACGATGAGGGGTACATTTTCGATTCACCAGAAAGTTGCTTTCTTTTTGCTAAGCCAGTTATTAAATAGGGAACCAGTCCCATGGCACGACACCTGACAGTCGTACAACCCCACTATCCATTGTACGAAACAGGCGCTCTTCCACAGTGCAGTCATGAATGACATTACCAGCAACCCCCTTCTGCCACCTCATCCAGAACTCCTCAAATACATCAACCCTCCCCAATGGGCCCTCAAAGCCAGCAAAGACACAATCACAGAATGCAAGGCAGTGTTCAAAGTCAAAGAAGGCACGTGCTCAATTACCTCCCACTTCATTACTCACCCAATACTCATGTCTTATTCACATAGTGCCCAAGAAAGCCACAAAGGTCTGCAAAGATGGCCACATCCACACCATGGACGAAGACGAAGACATGCTCCTCCTCGACAAAAAACCAGCCACATTGCGCAAAGGCAAAGAACTTGCCACATCCCAAGTACCTGTCGAAAAGAAGCTGTTTTGTCTCTTTGCACTGGCGCTCAACCTGCCTGAAATGTATTTCAACGACACGGTAGGTGTCTGCATGGCCTTTTGTGTTTAGCACAGGTCATCATAATTTATTTAAATAGACCATCTATTCAGCTGCTACAATGTGTACCCTTCACTATCCACCTCAGCCAGATTCTGCAGACGATAAAATACTGGGAATAGGAGCTCATACTGAGTGAGTTGTTTCGAAGCCATCCTGTCGATGCATGATCTTGACATCATTTGGGTTTGATAGTTTTGTGGTGAGTCTAAATGTCTGAGCTCATAACATAGTAACACAATGAACAATGGGCAGTGTTTCACGATTCTCTGGCAACAAACAGGGCTGGAGGCTCTCCAAGTTTTGAACTCTCATGAATAATGGATCAATGTACCACCGCTACTACCAGGACACCTCATTATCAAGTATGGATTTTTCGTGTGCTTACTGTATATATTTATTGATTTGGTCACCAACATTGTGGCACTATCAGTCTTGGAGATCAGTTTGTGTGTTGGACAAGTGCATAGACCCCACTGTCCTTGGTGATTTACACAGGATGCCATGACTGATCACATTGTACAGACGACATTTTCAAGTCTACCATGCATCGAGCCGCCAACTTTGTCAATCATGTCTTTAGCAGAGTTGGTGTCTGTCATCGATGGCGCTTTTCAAGACATACCCATAATGTCTGTTTGCTGGTTAATATTACTTGCCAAGCACTAATTTGCTGACTTCACTCCAGCAATCTTTCCCATGCAATGAGTCCTGATGAGAGCAAGAGGAAAGCCCTTGCTCAACAGGGAATTCATTAAAAAGAAAGGTCATCAAACCAGGCCATCTCCTCCTCCCCTTCATTGTCCTCCCTGTCTCCCTCACCTTCATCTTCCAACCCCTCGTCATTAATTGCTGATACACTGTAAGTTACGATAGTGGCTTGCTTTTTAGTAGCACCTCCTCGCCATATTTGATGACATCAAGAACCATTTGCCATTCAGTGCCCATTTTCTCACAACAGATACACTTAGCAGTACTGGGAACACCAGGCGGAGGCAGTCACTGCTTGGGCACATGACATGGAGAGATATTCTCCTTGTTGTCGGAGTGGATATCGACATCGTCAAACTTCCGCTTGCGAGTGTTGCAAGTAACTTGTGCTCGCTGTATAACCTAATGATAGTATCTCATAAGTGCTGCAAAGTAATATGGTCTCAAACTGAAAAAAAAACTCACCTTCCTTTCACCATGACTGTCCTTCTTTTCATTGTTCTGCATAGCGACTATGACCCTTGTGAGGTGCTTGAGTGTAGAGAATTCTAGTAGTAGATGCCAACTCAGAGAATGCATACGGTTGCTGATAGTATGAGCGGAACATTGTAGTCCACTTGCTCTTATCACTGTGAGCCTATTCACATTAGTGGAATGTCGCCAACTATGTAGTCCTGTAGCAATCAAAGTGCAGTAGTAGAATTGCGGCACTGTACCATCCTGTAGTCATGGTACTAACTATTTAGAGTTATGTGAACTTGATGCGAACAGTCAAAATTAAATTATTTACAGTCCATTCAGCAGATATGATTGTTGAACTTTAATTAGGATGCTACTAGAAGTACATGAATCACAGCAGTGTGCTGATAAGATAGTATGGTACTGTACACTACACTAGTACTAGATGACAAGGCTATGATGATGGCATCAAAATGAAAAGTGAAGTCTATTATGGTGCCCCCCTCCAACCCATACCTGCCGCATCATTAGCACCCCACCCTGCACTTGAACCCTGAAAATAAAATTAGTCCATGGTGAAATCATTGCACGACTCCCCAGCGAGATCAGGCTGCAGCAAGCTGGGAGGGTAGTATGGTGGCTGGGGCTTGTTATGAACTCAGGTAGAGCATTGTTCCAATAAAGGAATCAAGATCAGGGTCAATCAAGGGCTAAGCCTTATCAAGTCAATGCCTCCCTCAGGAGCGATCGTCTAGACTCTCACAGGATCTAGAGTTCAAATGGGACAATGGCTAGCCTCCTTCCCAAGGAGCTAGAGTTCAAGTATCAAAGAGAACCGAGTAGATTCAAGTTAGAGAAAATACAAGTGGTAACTAGGGTTTATATATGTAAGGAAATTGTGCACAGACCAGGCTGGGCAAAGGGTAACAACTACTGAGAAAGGAAGGTTCATAGGAAAACAAGGTATGAGTCAAAGATAAGGGAGACCATGAGGAAACAGCACAGTGAAAAGGAAGTGTTAGGAGTACAGCCATATACAGTGACTCAAAAAACTGTCCACATGTTTTGACATTTTTCACTATCTATGATATTGTGTGAGAACTCACAAATGGCTCAAGGACATGCTTATACCACATTGTAGTATGGCTTCAGGGCTTTCATTTGAGCCCTACACCGTGGGAATCGGTGGAGATATGGTGGAGACATAAGGCTTATAAAATGATGACTCATGTGGACAGTTTTTTGAGTGTATATTAAAACTATATAAATCATTATTTATGACACCACAAAAATCATGCCACTATTATATAAATTATGAAGTGGTGTCATTATGTTATTTTATGACTATATCTAACTATATAAACCAGAATATCTCATGTATCATAGTCATAATCACCATGAAAGCCATCTCCTCTGCTCAAAGAGATAATATCCTCTCTCTGTCTTATGCTGGCCTCTCTGCTCACCAAATTTCCTCTAGAACTGGAGTATGCAAGTCCACTGTGGCCAAGTTTATCAAAGAAAGCCACCCAGACAAGGAAAACTCTTGTGGAGGACGTCCATCCAAGCTTACCTCTACTGACAAAAGGGCTATTATCCAACATATCACTACAGGAAAGGCTGATAATGCTGTCCAAGCCACCCATTATATCAATTCCACCATCACTACCCCTGTCTCTTCACAAACTGTGAGGAATGTTCTCAAGGCAGCTCATCTCAAGGCAGTAACAAAGAAGAAAAAGCCTCTTCTCTCCATCAAACATAGGCAGAGAAGACTAGCCTTTGCCTTAGCTCATCAACACTGGACTGTAGAGGACTGGAAGCATATTATATGGTCAGATGAGACCAAAATCAATAGGATTGGGTCAGATGGGAAGGTATATGTATGGAAAAAGAAGGGAGATGGCCTAACAGACAGAGAGGTTAATGAGACTGTCAAGTTTGGAGGAGGTTCTTTAATGGTATGGGGCTGTATGGGATGGAATGGTATGGGAATGCTTGCTGAGGTTGAGGGGAAGATGAATGCTGAGCAGTATGTGGACATTTTAAATGACCACTTGCTGCCTAGCTTGGCAGAATCAGGGATTGATGAAGAAGATATCATTTTCCAACAGGATAATGATCCCAAGCACACATCCAGAAGAGCTAAGGAATGGTTTGAAGAACATAACATCAATGTTCTTGACTGGCCAGCACAGTCTCCTGATGTCAATGTCATTGAACATCTCTGGGGAACACTCAAGAAAAAGCTTCAAGCCTATGAAAACCCCCCTAAAGGAGTATGGGAGCTTTGGGAGAGAGTAGCAGTGGAATGGGGGAAGATTACAGCTGAGGATTGCCAGAAATTAATTGAGAGTATGCCTAGAAGGATAGAGGCAGTAATTAAAGCCAAGGGAGGTCATACAAAATACTAGAATACCTGGTTATTATTGTAAAATACTTGAGTCAAAAAACTGTCCGCATGAGTCACCATTTTGTGAGCCTTGTATCTCCACCATATCTCCACCGATTCCCATGGTGTAGGGCTCAAATGAAAGCCCTGAAGCCATACTACAATTTGGTATAAGCATGTCCTTGAGCCATTTGTGAGTTCTCACATGATATCATAGATAGTGAAAAATGTCAAAACATGTGGACAGTTTTTTGAGCCACTGTAGGAGTCCACAGTGATGATGGGAAAAAGAGTGGGGCACTGTAACATTACCCCCCTGTCAATGTCTAAAGTCACCGACTTTAGTCACTAAGATTCTGATAGTTGTTAGGGTTGAAGTCAGCATCTTTCGCAAACTGCTTCTCATGCTCCTCTTGTTCAAGATCTTTTCTATCTTCGTAGATCTTAAGCTGATGATGGAAGGCCCACGAGCCAGGTTTGGCATTAATGATACGATGTCCTTGAAGAGTAGGACAGTAGGCGGTAAGATGTTTGGGAGCATGGTGGTGGCATTCTTGGCAGAAATAGCGAGGACAGTGGATTTGACGATGTCCTTCCTGCTAGCAGTATTGGCAAATGATGTCATAATAGTCTACACCATTTCTGTCGCATCAAAAAGTTTCTTCAGATGGGGCACAAGAGTCAGAAGAGGAGGCAGGTTTGTCTTCATCAACAATGATGGGTGGAGCAGGGGATGGTGTTATGGGGCAAGAGAGGCCTATTCCAAAGGCAACAGTGTTTCTTTTCTTACCACAAGCATGGTGTGGGTTTCCTGTAGAGTGGACTGTGAGCTGAGAGGGAGCAGGGACAGGGGTGTCATCATCAGAAGATTCTGATGGAGATCTGGGGACTTCTTGGGTAGTGAAACAAAGGGGTTCAGTGGAAATGGAGCATTCCAGTTTGACCATATCTGGGGTGAGAGCTTGCTCAAACCCTTTTTCTATAAGTCTGTCTGCAGTGAGTGCTTTGATCTTGGTCATATGATAAATGATGGAACATTTGGTGGTTTCTTTGGTAGGGGCTGCGATGGTATGGGCATAGCTAGACGCCAGGTCTGCACTGTGGTGGATGGTCATCAAAGAAAGGGAATCAATGTCTTCAGAAAAGAAATGGTCTAAAGGTAAAACACAAGGAAGAGAAGAAAGGGTCGATTCAACAAGAGCTCGCTTGTGGTGAAGTTCGAGCTGAGAATGGTGGAGTTCAAGAGAAGAGTTTGAAGATCGTGAAGAAGGCATATTCTGGGATCAGGTTTCTAGGTAAGGAGTCGAGAGAGTCGAAGGCGATCTTTATAGGTTTTGAGGATCTCCTGGGCGTTGTCTAGTTCTTTTTCAGGGAGCCAGGAGTTATCTGAAGAAGGGTAACCTTTCCATGATATGAGGAAGCATCGTTTTCCTTTTACGTTTCCCTTATGGGTGAGAACAGCTTCTATTTCGTATTCTTCCTGTCCATTGATGATGTCAGGAGGGGGTTCAGTGTGGTTCGGGCCGTGAACTTCTGTTTCCTGATAGGAGGATAACTCAGAAGCATGAAAGACAGGG